CACAACAAAAATAATTCCATTTTCCTGATTCATCAACATGATGTGCACTTTTAAATCACTTTTTCAGCTTAAGGCAGATAAAAGAACAATTTTTCTGATGTTTTAGTTGTGCTTTTACAAAAGTATAAAACACGTTTTGTACATGTTTCCTTTGCTCACTTTTAAAAATAAATATTTTAAAATAAATTAATTTCTTACTGAATAATTGTGGTTTCGTTGTTGCAGTGTGACGTCACAGCACGTTCGGGAGAGATCAGTCGTCTTCGGCATTTCAAATAATGCAATTTTTTATTATTTATTTTCTTGCATAAATTATGTTAAAAAATTATTAAAAAATTGCATTTAAAGATATATATATATAAATTATAAAATGCAATATTTTTTAAAAATTATGCAAACTCCTTATTAAATATTTCTGTTACACTTGGGGATAAGATGACAGTAAATACAAAACACAATTTTCCTGCTAGAAATCGTTATTAAAACGATTTTATGAATTAAAATTTTGGATGCTTTATATAATTCGAAATTTTAAGTTAATGAAATGCTGTTTAAACAAATAAAAGTATGTCCAACTTACTTCTTAAATTACTCTCTTTCATATTCCGACAATTTATGTTTTATCATATCTTTATATGTTTTTATAACTTAAACCCTTGATTATTGACTATAAATAAATTAAATATGCAAGTTTATATTGCATCATATTATTTAATTGTTTATATCTTTTCCCATAGGAGGTGGTATCTTACCCTATATATAAGGGGAAGATGTCACTTTTGCAGGGTATGACATATCAATTTTTTTTAATAATACAGAATATAAAAAATTTAATTCATTGATTTGTATGAATAAAAGAAGGTTGCTAAAATGTAAATATTTTTTCGTTCGTTAATTCAATAATTAAGAAGTTATTCAAGAATAAAGACTTAAGTGTGGCGTTTTCCTCCCCAATGATCTTATCCCTATATTTTATTTTATACTTATATTTGTATATGTTCGAAAACGCTTCTTTCCAAGTTATAAAAATTTGTTTATTTTATACTTACTTTATACTCTGTATTTTATTTTATATTTGTATCTATTTTTTATTTTATACTTATATCTATATTTTTATTACAGAAATTGTTGTAAATGATGTACTTCCGCATCGATGCATGCTTTGCATCGACGTCGCATGGATTATCGAAGACGTTCAAAAATTCTGCATCGATGCGGAAGGAAATCATTTCCAGTAATTTTTGTAAATATAGATATAAGTATAAAATAAAGTATAGATATAGATATAAAATAAAATATAGGTATAAGTATAAAATAAAAAAATTTTTATAACTTGGAAAGAAGCGTTTTCGAATTCATTTTTATATGACTTTTTTTCATCCTTACAATGAGTGGAATATGCTCTTAAAATTTGACCAACTATTTCTGAAACGTCCTATATAGTAACGCATAGGGGCGCACAATTTTCTACGTCTCGCGTAGAAAGTCGTGCGTCCCATAGCAGGGAAGGGGTGGAGTGAGAGTCGTTTCGCATGGACAGGCGTAAAATATATTTTAAAGCAGGAAATTTTTGTTCTATATAGTAAAAAAAGATATCATTTTTGAAGCTTTCTTTCTTAATACTTTTTTAACGAGTAATGAGTACGGTTAAAACCTGTTGGAGATTACTCAGGGTCATGACCTTGATAACATATGTCAAGGTCAAGGTCATTGGAGGGGGCTCCTCTAAACTGAATATTTACTTAAAATAAGTAAAAATTGTTAAATTATAACGCACCACACACATATTTGATTTTATACAGAGTTTGGAATTTAAATGTCAAAATTTTGGGAGCGTGTAGGGGATCGATAAATTAAGAAAAAAAGTCCTGTAGAGATACTCGTTTTTGCTTCGTTTTGAAGAAAATTATAAAAAAAATCCGAATTAAACCATTTGTGCATCAAACGTGTATTAAGGAAAATCGAAATTTTGATTTAAAAATCATTACCTCTAAATCTTAATATTTCTGGATAAAAATTTAGAGATTTGGAATGAAATGGAAGCTTTTAAGCTGAGAGGCCGATTAAAAAAAAAATTTTTTTTTATGTTTGTCAGTCTAATGAATGTTCAGGATCATGTCCTGGATAACATTCGTTAAGATCAAGGATCATTGGAAATTGATTCTCTTAGGGGCCTATTCTGTAACTCTTAACGACTCTAACGATATCGTTAAATTGTCGTTGCGCAGCTTTTTTACTGTATACAAAATCTGCACATTGACAATGCAACAATATCGTTGCAGTTGTTAAGAGTTACAGAATAGTAGGCCTTTTATTTTTATTTTTACATAAAAATGAATTTTCAGTGCAAAAATGAAAATAAGAGAAACAATTCCCAATGATCTTGATCTTAACAAATGTTATCCGGGATCCTGAACAACATTCAAGAGGTTTTAGCTATCAGTTGAACAATTTGCGTAATGTTAATGCCGGTGGTATGGAATTATTTTGATTATCGGATTACTGTAACTTTCAAGCTTTGTAACTCGAAAAGTACTTCATGAAAAATAATTTTATTATAGTGTTTTGAAAAACTCTTGACATCAACTATTAGATTCTGGAATCAAAAGTAGGATGTTCAATTTAAAAAAATCAATGTGACTTGATCTTGGCGATGCCACCCAAGATCAAACTGGTAAGATCAGTAATTAAATCTTTTTGAACTCTACAACTTTTATTTGAAACTTCTGTCAAACTTATATTTTCTGAGATATTCAGGGGTCCTGATCTTTTTGGAATACTCTTTTATAAAAAAGGAAGGTCAGAACTTCGGATTTATTCGATGATGATGTTTTTGAAAGAAATGTTTCATACAAAAGTTGTATGGTATAAAAAGATCTATTTATAGATCTTATCAGTTTGACCTTGGGTAGCGTCGCCAAAGTCAGATCAAAGTCACGATTTTTTTTTAATGGGACACCCTATTTTTAATTCCAGAATCTAATAACCAGTGTTAAGAGCTTTTCAAAACATTATACTAAAGTAATTTTTTGGTTAAATAATTTTCGAGTTATGTTATGAGCTTGGACAGTACCGCTATCTTTAGCATTATCAAAAATGTACCGCGTGGAGATTGCCTGATCGAATTTACACTTTGTGCATGCGTGCGTGCGCTTGGGGGGGGGGGGGGGGGGGGTATGCGCGTGCGTTCGTTTTAAAAAGTTCTTGACATTATTTGATTAGTAAAAGTAGGATTGATTTATCCGGCCAGTGAAGACAAGATGGATCTATCCGACTGGTGAAGGCAAGATAAACCAATCTTAGTTTTACTCAAATAATAATCAAGAACTTTTCGGAACAAGCACACATGTACACACAAATATAAACATATATACATATATACATATACACATCCACACAAGGTGTAAATCCGATCGGACAACGCGATCATCTTACATCTTTGATAATTCTAATGCCGGCGATACTGTAACTTTCCAGGCTCATTCAACTTGAAAATTGCTTAATGAAAAATTATTTTATTATAGTGTTTTGAAAAGCTCTTAATACCGGCTATTAGATTCTGAAATCAAAAATAGAGTGTCTCGTTAAAAAAAAATCAATTTGACATTGACCTGATCTTGATGACGCTACTCAAGGTCAAATTGATAAGATTTATAAATAAATCTGTTTATAATATCTTACAATTTTTAACTGGAACATTTCTTTCAAAAATGACATTCTTCCGAGAATCCGGAAGAGACATACTTTTTGAACACCCTGTATATACATATATGAGGCATTCTCTGTCAAATCGATCATCCCTTGCCAATTCCAATTTTTGAGAAAAAATTTTTCAAAAGAGCTCAAAATTTTCTTTGAAATGTCTATTTCTCGATGCCGTAGCATAAAAAAAATTCAAAATGGCGGACCCAAAATGGATGCTGGAATGACATTGGAAAAATTAATGATATTGTGAATAAACGTGCACGTGTGTTTCAATAAAACTTTTAAGCTCTTTTAAAAAATTTTATCTCAAAAACTGAAATGAGCATCAGGAATGTGACCGATTTGATAAAAAATGCCCCATATATATATAGGGTGTCATGAATATACGGCCCCACTCGTTCCGAGCAGGTAGAGTGGACTAAACTGAGTAGAAAAGTCCTTTACCATTTTGTAATGCTCGCAATAATTAACGAGATATTAACGTTTAAAGATAGCCGAATATGCACGTTCTCCCGACCTATTATTGCCGAAAGTACGACCCACCGAGCGCGCGGGTCGCGAGGAGCGGGGCTTACTGTCAATACCGTCGCGAGCATTTAAGCTCAAATGGCGCGGCGCGCCTGCTAGGCCATTCCCGCTCCTCGCGGCCGTGCGCTTGGTGGGCCGTACCTTTGACAATAATAAGTCGAGCGGACGCGCGTATTCGGCTATCTTTAAACGTTAATATCTCGTTAATTATTGCGAGCATTACAAAATGGTAGAGGATTTTTCTACTCAATTTAGTCCGCTCTATCTGCTCGGGACGAGTGGGGTCGTATATTCATGACACCCTGTATATGTGTGTGTGTGTGTGTGTGTGTACACAAAGTGCGTCACCAAAATCCGGACAAATCGAATAATTTCTTTAAACAAAATGTTTTTAATGAAAAATTAAATATTACACAAAATCCTTTTACATGCACTTGGATCCCTGTAGAGCACAATTATTCAATATGTCCCCCATTAGTTTGAATAACAGCCTTTATTCTCGGTCTGAAGCGTTCACACGCTGTAATGTAGCGCTGTCCATGCCGAGAAATGCTGCCTCAATAGCGGTCCTTAATGATGTCATGACCTTGGGATGCCGAGACTTGTTTGTGACTTGTAACCCTTTCAACTACGCTCCATACGTAGTAGTCCACGGGATTTAAATCTGGGCTGTTGGGAGGCCAGAATTCCTTGGACCAAAACATATCGACGTTGTCTGAGAGCCAATTTTGAATCAAATGATTCGTATGAGCCGGTGCACCGAAAACAAATGGCCTTTCGGACGCCAGTTTCCATCCACGGCTTCACTACATCCATCAGAACGCACAATGATTGTCCTGAATCATTCGAAATCAGCGCTTGAATCCTTTCAACGACTGCGGAGGTTCTCGCGGTGCATTCTTTCGAGTGACTCTTCCTCGCTAGCATATTGGAATCTTCGTTGGACTGTTCTAAAGCCGTATATTTTGCCACAACGTCATAAACGGTTGATCTCGAGTATCCAAAGAATTATTTTCGTTGCTGAGCGCCCAGCGCGAAGGCCTCCGATGATCGCGGCTTTTTGATTATACTCTGCACTTGGTTTCAATACCATTTTGAATATGACTGTTTACTAGAAGCATCAGACTTTCTCGGACGCCAACAACAACCTTTAGCGGAGGTATAATATAATGGAAAATTTTAATTGAAATTTGTCCGGATTTTGTGACGCACCCTGTATATATGTATGTGTATATATATATATATATATATATATACATATATAGTGTGTGTGTGTGTGTGTGTGTGTGTGTGTGTGTATCCAGATAGCAAAATGCCTGCAGTCTTCTAGCTATAGAATTTATAGTAATGGAAGGGGAATACGGACGTTGAGTTGTGAGCAAAACTGAGAGACAGAAGATTTCTATCCTACTCAACTTTTCTTCTTTTTGCGCATGACCATTCCTAGCCAATCGAAATTTTCAGATGCCAATACGTAGTATCCAAATATAAGCGCGATTTTATTATAACTTACATAAAATGATTCAATATTGCATTTTGTGTTGTAATCATGACAATGTTTTATCACAGGTAAGTACACAATCGTAATTGTTAATGAATACTTGTATTCTTTGCTCGCATATTTTAGGTTAAGTAAAATCACATTTCAATTTTTGCAGATTTCCAAAAGATATGCAAATAAGAAAAAAATGATTAATTTTGTATTTGTAGAATTAGAGTTTTGTAATTTTGATGGAAATTTTGTGATCAAAACTACCACTTATTTATGCTCAAAACATTTCACGGAAAAAGATTCTTACAACAATTAACTTTTTACAGCCACTAATAGAGTTTTAAAGAGTAAAAGCATACTATCTTTATCATGTCAAAAAAGAAAAAGGTATATATATAAAAAGATAAATAATATATTACATAAAAATAATATATTATATAAAATTGTTTGATTTGGTTATTTTTTAGTTATATAATTGTAAGAATCAAACTAAAACAGTAAAATTAAGATTGTAGCAAAATGCTACAAAAGTGAATATATGGTAAATGTGTGTGAAGAGGAATCATGTTCAACAATAATAAATATATATAAAGAGGAACCATATTCAACAATAATAAATGTACGTGAGGAGGAACTATCATGTTCAACTAGAGTAAATGTATGTAAAGAAGAACCATGTTCAAAAATAGTAAATATATGTGAGGAGGAACTATCATGTTCAATTGTAATAGCCGATAAAAATATGGATGAATTAATTCCTAAAGAAGAGTAAATTGATCATGGTAAGTTTCTTTAAATAATAAGCTAGCGGTACACGATGCACATTTTCTTATTGGATTACTTGCATTCTAATAAATTAATAAAATTGTATAATTCTAAATATATAATATAAATATAAAATGCATAAAAAATTTTTACTAATTTTTAACAATGCATGCGATCGAGCAAGAAAAAATGTATTGTATACTGCTGACTTTAGTCGCACGACTCTTGAAGTATGATTTCACCGTTTATTCTTTAACGTATTAAACATTTCGAATTCAATTTAACTCTTCCAAACTCTCCGTTGTATGCTGAACCACGTTATATTGGTGATATTAGAACACCATATTTCATTACACCACGAAGAGCTAAGAGAGTTTTAAGGTCCGTATTTATAGTCGTGTTTCTGCTGAGAAACTCAGCTGAAACTAATCTTGAGTCATGGAACAATTCAATAAACGAATCTTGAGTCAATTTATAATTGTGATTTAAGTGAAGAATTCAAATAAAATTTATCTCGAGATATTTTTTACGATTCAATAATCGAGTCTTGAAGTAAGATCTCGTAAACATAACTTCGAAATTTGTATTCTCTAATTCTTTGAATCGAGAAAACTTGCGTATCATGTAAGTATGGTCCGGATATAACTTGAAAAGAAAAAATTATATAATATTTATATTAGAGTGCATTATAATCTACATGTATGTATATATATGTATATAATATATTAATATTACATTATTATAT